AGCAGACACGGATCCGGCCTCCTTCCCCCCAAACCCACCCTTCCCCCATGCCAAATTTTGTGACGCACCCCCCTCCCCCCACATCGCTTGGAGGAGCTGCAAACCGGTCGAGTGTTTTGGACCGGACACCCCCCCCCCTGAAACCCACCCTGAAACCCCCCTGGGTCCCTAGACCTCCCTTTTTTTTGAAGCCCTCTTTCCTCCTTTCCTGAGGCGGCGCGCGCAAGCGTTTACAATTGCCTTGCTTCATTTTCTGTAGTTTGATCTCCCTTTGTAAAATGTATGCACGTCCCGGGTCCGCGGCTTTCTCGGCCGCGTCGTGGGCCTTTGCTTGCCTTGGCTGGTAGGCGATCAAACCGAGTTCGGGAGGAACCAGGACCAAAGGGATATGTGCAGCGGTCAGAGATTAAAACAAGCTGAAACTTTGATGATGCTGCAACAGGAATAGCGCAAAGAGCAGGTTCAGCGGGGCGGGAGCTAGAAATTGTCGGGCCTGCCGTTGCTTGACAGCATGGTGCCACTTGCTCTTACAAGGCTTGCGGGCCAGTAGCAGCCCAATAGCAAAGTGCTCCTAAACACTCTCCCAGCCTAACCTCCTCTACTTTAAACTGGATGTTACAAGTGTGAGAGTTAAGGGTTTTGTGGTCCCTGTGCCGATGCAATAACTTTAACCACTATGAAAAACACTTTAACACTCCAAGAACCATGAATACATTGAAAAGCTTGAAGACATCGAATATGTTTAACAACTTTCATGACTTTCATACCTCCTGAATTGGCGCAGGGTTGCCAATGTCTCTCCTGTAGGCGCAGCGGCCCAATGGGTGTGTCCTTCGAGCTAAGTGCCACATTGCAACTTGTTGAGCTCTGAGGCTTCGTCTCGTGTTCTGCGTTTTGATGTTGGGGCTTGGGGCTGTGCTTTGGGACTGCGATTTGTCTGGCTTGACGTTCTGGACTCAATTCTGGTTTTGCCTAGTCATAAACCAAGTCTTCGGTGTTCGACGAGCCCTAGATCCAGCACCGCCCGTGTGAACCCATGCTGAAGAGCCATCTAGTTCGACGTTTCCTCTCAATTTCGGGTCGGGGCTTGCCTCCTGTTGCTGTCCGTGTATTGTCGGGTTTGGGCTTGGAACTTCCTTCCCCCCCGCCCCCCCCCCCAGCCGAAGTGGTGCTTTGGTGAAGCTTGGGCTGGTCGTCAAGTTCTGGGCTTACCTGCTCTTGTGACTCAGCAAGGAAGAAATAAAACCTAGGCATGCCACAGGTACAGCAATGGGGGGGAAGCCATGAAATTCAGGTCGGGTATAGAAGGGGTAGCAAACCCTGCAAACACGAAAGCTCCTGACCGGGCGACGGCTGGTTCTCGATCGTGTCGAGCGCAGCCTCCACGGAAGGAGTGCCCTTGCTTGGGTCAGAGCTTTCGAGGCATTAGGCCATCAGGTCCCTGAGTGACATAGCGGGATCTTTAGGGAATCTTGGAGCATCTTGGACGCTTGCAACCGGCGGTTTGATCCTAAGTTTTAAACGATGTCAACATGGCAGAATGGCGACTTCCAGCACATTCACTTCAGAGCTAGGCACATTTACATTCACACCTAGGCAGGTTGGCATGCATTCTTGTTTCCTCGGCCTTGTATTGTAAACATCAAAACGCGGAACTCTTGTCAAAGCCTCCCTGACAAAGACGTCCTAGAATCCACACGCCCTCCAGTCCGAACAAAGTTAAGGCGTTGATTTTACGTGCCATGGCTTCAGGTTTCAAGGCAGAGGAGCTGAGCGTCCAAAGCCGGCAAAAGGACATTCCAAATAGAACAAGCCTTCTCCAAGCACCACAGCTTTAGGTGGCTCACGGCCGGCCCTCCCATGTCTTGCCCATATACTGCCGGTTGAAAGCTGGACTTGCTGCTTGCTGCTGAAGATCTGGGAGGGAATGAGTGGAAGCCTAAACTACCAATTCTCAAAACCAATGCTTTGCTAAAAACTTGTTGTTGCCGAATCAAAGCTGCAGACTGGTTCTCGGGCTAGGGGGCACCAAGTGTGCCACATGGGCACACTCAGCTCTTAATCTTCACGGGATCTCTATACGAAAGACATTCGGGCTCTGCAAGCCGAAGACACCCCCAACCTGAAGCCTATAGGCAGGCTGCGTGTTCAGCTTTTGACTATGGGGCTAATCATTGCCTCACAGTTCTCTTGAGCCGTTCCAGCGCAGCATAGCCGCTTATCGCCAAGCCCCCCCAATTCAAAAAAGGCTCAGGATTCCTGCGTTCCCTCAGTGACTGTCCCCAAGCCCGACAAAACTTCCCACAAACATCACATTATCCCGACTGATGTGATTGCCGTTTCAGTCATGGTGCAACTTCTTAAAGCATGTCAATGAAATCAAACCTAAAAACGCGCAGTTGTGGCCTGCAGCGGGCTTGATGCTTGAGCTCTCCCAAGTTCGGTTCTGAATTTGATGGAGTTCGAGAGATGGTACCGTCAAAACAAGGGAAAGTTGGGGAATCTGCTGTATCAAGGGCATACGCAGGCAGACGAACTCGCCTGCTTTACGAAAGGGTTCGTGCGAAGCTAAAAAGTTCAGGCTCCATCCCTTTGGGCGGATTCGGTCAAGAGAAACTCGGACGCAGGCATTCGTCTTGTTTCGGATGTTGCTCGGAAGTTGCGATTGCGGTGCAGGTGCCAGCGGCTGTGTGACTACATTCCTGAAGTCTTGAGCGGAAGGCCGCACTTCAACAAGCAAAATCGTTAGAAGCTCAAACATCCAAGTGCGCCACAACAAAACTATGGCTGCGGCTGCAACGCGGCCGCACCACAAAACGCCACCAAGCCGCCCTAGCAGGTTCCCT